TTCGCATTTAAAAATTTTTTTATCCGTTCAACTCTGCTCTCCCAAGATTAAATCTTGAGTGGGCCATGCTACAGAATATAGACAAAATATTTATTGTAAATTGAGCCAATTAATTTTAAACTGCGCTGTTAACTACTAATTTAAATCAGTAGCTTAAAATAAAATAAAATAAAAGCAGCAGAATTGGAATTGAAGAGATGGATGATAAATTGGGGCTCACAGGCTGTTCGCTTTCTCTCGAAGCGAGTTATATTGCGTCACCAGGGTAGAATATATCCGAGTACATAGACGTCCGCATAGGGGGAAAACGGACACTTGCCCCCTCCCTGGGATCGAATAAAAGAATTCCACAAATTATAATTGTAAGTCATGATATGTAACCTTACACCCTCAACCAGGACTATTCTATAATCTACTCGTGGATATAGCCTTAAATATTTATTACATTTTTTAAATTAAGACTGATTATCTAATGGTACAAATAAAATATATATGGATTATTTTTACGAATTTTAATGACTAAGTCAGGGATCGCCAAAGTGGTCTATATCGACCCCCAGGGGTCGATATAACATTATTGGGGGTCGATGAAAAGACTAAAACTTACAAATTTTGAACCGAATATTGCTAATCTTGCGAGGGATTATCAAGCTTATCCGTCTCATTGATTGTCAGTTACAAAAATTATTATTAATATATGTACAATAAATGTAAAAGATGTAAAATTAAAAGATATATATTAAAATAGTAAGAGGTTTTTTTTTTGCTTATAACACAAACTTTTTGGTGGGGGTCGATGTGAGGTTTCTAAAAGTTGTAGGGGGTCGACGATCAAAAAAGTTTGGCGGCCCCTGGACTAAGTAATTTTATTTAATTGAATCTATTAATCAATCTATTATATTTATTATTATTGAAAGCAATTGGCTCATACAATAATAAAATTCATTTAACTACAGTCTTAATTCTTATTCGGATTTTATTGATTGGCGCATATTTAAAATTTTGCACGAGTTTCACCATATTTATTTTTAACTAATATAAAATTTGACTATTGTTTTATTTGACGGTGAGACTGAGAGAAATATATTTCTGGCAAATGTACACTCTTCTTTTTGTTCGTTACTTAAAAAAATCATAAATATACCTTAGAAATCGTAATAATTAATTAATTCCGCGGAATTAATGCTATTTATTTAGTTTTTATTGCATAAAAAAAGTCAACTTTTGGGCTACTTGAATACGAAATTTTTAAGTTTGTATTTACTGTAATTGATTGATGTGCATGGAGATTCTTACAGCTTCATTCAGTTCCAAATATTTGGTCGAATGAAAACCGTTTCTTACATTTTATATAATTTATTCGATTCTTAAAGTGATTTATTTGTATGACGTTTTCTGTTTTTAAATAACTGAAATGCCTGTTATAAAATAGAAGAATAATTTTTCTATGAAATTCTGATATTTTCTTCCGACAACAAAGTAATAAAAAGACTTTGAAGCATTTACAAACTGAAAAAAAAATATGAAAAGTTAAAGATCAGACAACAGCTTAAATTATTTATTTATTTTTATTTATAATAAACAATCAACTTTATTTTTTATTTTAGAAACCGGGAATTGAATATTTTAAAAAGCCATATTTTATTTTCTTTTAAAAGGCTAATATTCATTTGCTTGTTATAAAAATAAAAAAAATTATTAATAAACTTTCATTATTTATATATTTTTTTTCTGATTTTAAATATTTAAACTGTATCAAAGTTTTGTATCGTTTTTTAAAAAAAAGTTTGAATAGATTTACACTATTTTGATGTTAAATGTTCCATAATAATTCTTAAATTCACGTGTAGAATAGTCGAGAAACAGACTTTATTCGTAACGTCGATTTAATTATCTTGAGTTATTTGCTCAAACTTTATGAAAATGCAGAAAAAGAAAGAAAACGGCAAACCTTTTTTATTCTTTATCACAAAGTACACATTTTTACAGAATCGGAAGTTTGCTTTTTCTTTTTACCGACAGAAAACTGACATTGTTAAGACTTCCGCTCGGAAACAGGAAATGTCGTATGCGGTTGTGTCTCGTTTTACGCATTATCGACGCCATTTCCTATCAGATTTCCAATTGATTTTAGAAATCGTTATGATAAGCAGATATATAAATTTTGGTCTTTCAATAATGCACATACATTTTTATATTTCAATAATATATATATAGTCTATAGATTTTCAAACACAAAACAAGCATTAGAAATTATTGAGATATTTCCGTGGAATAGACTGATTGAGCTTAAAACAAGTTAATTTGTACCAGTTTTATGAGCAGAATAAGCAAATAGCATCCAAACATCACTTTACTAAACTCATTTTCCGTCTAAACAACACCAAGGATTATTTCCGTTAAGAGAAAGCGGAATTACATTTGTCACAGAAACAAAATAACATTAATTACATCGTCTAGTCTATGGAAGAACGAATCTCTTCTAATAATAGTCAATGCCCTAATTACGCTATCCTCATAGCTCTATATCAATAACAGATAATATAATTAACTTTAACTATTGAATACCACGTCCCAACTATAAATATATATATAGACACGTGTTCTAACCCTTTCGTTAACGTTAATTAAATAGGCTATTTTAATATCTACTTTGTGAAACTCGAATTAATTTAGGCGTTTCTTAAATATTAACATTGCAACAATTTTAGCGAAAAGTCTTTTCGTCGACTTGCTTTCAAAACGGAAACTATTTATGAAACTCGTTACAACGTCGAGATTATGCGCAAATTTATAAATTTATCTCGTGCGAAATCCCAAGAATGATTTTTATATGTTTATATAATAAACTCTCGAGATAAAGTGTTTGCTAAAAACAGAGACTATAAAGTTTTCGAGAGGGTTATAAATTATTTTTATCCAGAAATAATTTTAAACTTGTTAACATGTCTTAGAAATTTGCTCAAAATTTCTGCACATTTTACAATTAAGCCTATAGTTTTCTTTTATTTAATAATTAATATTCTTTTGCCCGATTTACAATTATTCATTTTTACAACAAAAAATTCGTTTATTATTTTTATTCTCATCTTAGCATATTTCTAAACACGCACACTTTAGCAATTTATAGCTTTAAAAATCACTCGGACAGTTCTATCACCAAATTTATGAAATTTCATTCGTTTCAACTTGGTCAAAAAACACATTTGTCCAAGTTCCTAGCTGCTCAACTAGACTCTGCAGAATCCCACAACATAAGGGGTCTTGGAGGTCTGAAGGTCTCGCGCCGATTTGATATTTTTTAAAATTTGTATTTATATTTATCAATTGTATAGTTACGCCACTGGACACAATATTCTAAGGAGACCCTCAATATTTTTATTTTTTTGTTAGGATCAATGCACTTCTGTTTATGGGGTGTTCTTCGAAACAATCGTATAACTTCATTATCTTTTATTTGATAAATCTAATATTTAAATTATTTATTGCACTAATCTTATTTAGAACAGACAAATATTCGAGATTAACATTTGAATCTACTTGTATATAAATTTTCCATTGCAATATTATTTCTCAACTGTCTTTTATAAATAAAATTTATTGGATAATCAGAGACCATTTTAAAAAATTCAGCGATGAATAAGGTTAATTTGTACATTAAACTTTATTCAGTTTGAAATATTCGATGATATAAATTAAGTTTAAAATTAGTCTTATTATCATCACGATAAATGCACTTTTTAGTTGCGTTAACTCGATAATTTAACGAAAATGTTTGAAATTTAATACTTGAACGAGTCATGTTTAAACGAATATTTAAAGTTGTTTGTTTAATGGAGAGGAAAGACTATCTTTAACTATTAAAAAAATTTCATTTTCGTAACTAAATTCTGCAGATGATAATTATTTTTATTCAAAATAATCAAAAACCAAATTATCATCTACAGAGTTTATAATAAAATAAGCTATTTGATTAGAATAATTAAATTTTTTAGAAAGAAAATTTAACAACTCTACAAAAACTTGCAATTAGTAACTTCGTGTAATAAGGAGAACGCTAAAAACATTTTAAAAATGGCGTTTGATTGGCATCANATAAAACAAATTCAGATTATTTGTTATAATTCGTGTATAGAAAAGGGCGATAAAAAGATGAAAGCATTACGGTTTTATCATTATAAATAATTGGTTTTTAATTAAAAGAATTCGTTGAAAACTGATACTAACGCGTTTTTTTCCAGTTTTGCAAATTGTTTTTTGATATTAAAGAATATTAGCGAAATTTACAATTCTTTATTTTAATTAATTTGTATTTAAATACACATATTTTTCAGATTTATTCTGGAATTAAATAAAGAATCAATTAAAATGGATAAAATAAACTGTTCAAAACTGTTCAATAAATTAGTAACTCTAACTATAGCCTATATATATAGTTAGAGTTACTAATTTATTAAATATTAATGAAAAAAGTAGGAATGTGGTTTGAAAGTTTTGTATTATTTTAATGACCATTTTGTATAGTTTAAACGGCTGGGGATCCGAAAATTTTTCACGGGCGATCTATCCCGGTCGTGTCCCTCGCCCCCATTGTAAGCGTGAAAGAAATAAAAGGCCCTCTTAGTGTTCACAAGGCGGAAACAGGCAAAAATAAAATAAAACAGGATACGAATGTACACAATGCATGTCCATATAAAATATCAATGTATAAATAAGCGCTAATTTTAACATTAAAGAGAAAGTTGGACGGATTTCCACGAATCCATAATGATTTGAAATTTATATAGCGAAATACGTAGTTTAATTCTCTTAGCGTGTAAAACCCAAAAACTTGTAAAGCAAAAAAATAAAAAGGGAGCGACAGGCAAAACGCATTTGCCAATCGAAAGTACAGTACAGTTCGAGTAACACGCGCCCTTTCTTATCGCCAGCGCCCTCTGTCAGGCGATAAGTCAGCGCGCGCTGTCCACCTCTCCTTTCTTCATCCGAACGTCAATCGTTGTAGCACGTGCTGTCTATGCTGTTGTGACGCAACTGACACCAGGATTTTTTTTTTCTTTTTTCTCTGACGCAAAGCGCCCGTCGGGCTGCAAGTCCGTTGTTAGAAATTCAACTCTTTTTGTCTGTTAGCAAAATGATTCGAATTGTAAACTGAATCGCCTGTTCCGGTCACGGAATTTATCGAAGACGAGTGATTAACCCGCACAAACTTCTAATACAAGATGAATAAGAGTGAGTGATGCAGATTTTTTCCGAAAAAATTCAAATTTATTCGATATTCGTTTATTTTAAAGAAAATTTCAATATGTGAAATAATTAAGTGCTTCTAATTTAATTAGAGAATACTCATCTTTTCTCTTGTCCGATACTTAAAAATAAAAGCAATTTCAAAATTCGTTTTTTTTTTATTTTTTAATTTTAGGATGATTATTTTTGTTTTGATTAAGGGAGAGACGTTCTTCGCTGAAGTGATTGAAGTATTATTTTTTTTAGATAAGTCGAAGTCCTTTCGAAAGAAAAATTATGAAAAAAAAATGAAATGAATTTAGTAGAAAATGTTAGAAAAAATTAATTGAATTTCAATAAGTTATTCAATAGACTTCAATAAGGCAGATTTTTATCCCCAAATGAGAATAATTTCTATTTATTCAAGAAATGAAATGTATAATCTATCATTTTAAATTAATTTCATTCAAATTACTCTGTACTTTATTAATATTTCTTAGTGAATTCAAAAAAAGTAACGAGAAACTTAAACCTTGATATATCACATCAAGGTTTAAGTTTGAAATGCGTGATTTAAAAGCGTATAAAGAATTTTTATATTATATTCCAATAAACTTATACAAGTTTTTCACACGTAACTGATATTAATATGATAATTTTTTAAATTTTCTTTCTCTATTAATTATCTAAAAAAATCTTTCGCTATCCAAAATCAAACGAAACTTCTACAGTTGCTTAAGATAAGGCAACTAATTTTATTTAAATTTAATATTGTAATTNAAATTACTCTGTACTTTATTAATATTTCTTAGTGAATTCAAAAAAAGTAACGAGAAACTTAAACCTTGATATATCACATCAAGGTTTAAGTTTGAAATGCGTGATTTAAAAGCGTATAAAGAATTTTTATATTATATTCCAATAAACTTATATAAGTTTTTCACACGTAAGTGATATGATAATATTTTAAATTTTCTTTCTCTATTAATTATCTAAAAAAATCTTTCGCTATCCAAAATCAAACGAAACTTCTACAGTTGCTTAAGATAAGGCAACTAATTTTATTTAAATTTAATATTGTAATTTTCTTTTACAATTTTACTCTCTCGACTCTCCAGAAATAAATTTATATATGAGCCACATTCCACTTTTCAATTGAGACATTTATGCCAATTATCGGATGTCTTTAATACATTTAAACGTATTTCTACTAACATTTATTAAATATAGTTTGATAGTAGTATTGCAGTATTATTTGATGCCTAATTAGTAATTATTAAGTATATTTAGCGATACAAGGCTCTCTTAACTTCGCTGTTAAGAGACGCTAAACTTGCTAAACTTAAAGTTTATAACTTTTCTAAGCTTAATAATTATAGTAGTAATTTATAACAAAATTATCATATAGTTTCTACAGTGCAAAATCATAGTTCCCCCGATAGAAATTATGATATGATGCATTTTAGATGCGAATTAAACAATTGTTTGCAAGTGTTTACAGCAGTAAGCGCTCGTTTACATTTTTCTTACATAAATGTAAGTGATTAATAAAACAAATTCAGATTATTTGTTATAATTCGTGTATAGAAAAGGGCGATAAAAAGATGAAAGCATTACGGTTTTATCATTATAAATAATTGGTTTTTAATTAAAAGAATTCGTTGAAAACTGATACTAACGCGTTTTTTTCCAGTTTTGCAAATTGTTTTTTGATATTAAAGAATATTAACGAAATTTACAATTCTTTATTTTAATTAATTTGTATTTAAATACACATATTTTTCAGATTTATTCTGGAATTAAATAAAGAATCAGAGGAAATTCTTTATGGAATAAAATGAAAATATTATTTATTAGCGCAAATTTCCTGAAAATGAGATAGAACACTTCTCACTTTCGTGCTCTTCACCTGCAAATTTTGATTTTATCCGCGATCGAAGAAGGTAAATATTTTTATAACTAAAAGTTATATACGGGAAAACTAAACACGTGTGTAACTTTTAGTTGTAAAAATAAATAGATTTTAAAAATATATAGCACAAAATAAAGAATAACTTATAATGTTATTATGTAGAGAAATCATTAACACGAACATTTTTAAAACATTGCAAATTCTCAAAACTGTACTTAGGGGAGACCGGGGCAACTTCGGCATGCGGGGCAAGTTTGTCAAGCGCTTTTTTTAAAAAACAAATTAAAAGGAGACTTTGGTTATAGGTTAGGCAGTTGAGTTTTATTGGTGGCTTGTTGAGTGTAGTGTTTTTATTGTTCTCCAACAAGCGTAGTTGAATTATCAAGCAAATTTTCATTTTCGTTCAATTCCATATAATATTTTTTTTCCATTTATATTGAATTGGCAGGTTTTGTTATAATTCCATGATAACGAAAGTTACTTTTCCTGTTAGAAGGATGTAACTTCAACTTATTCACGTGGCCAGATCGTGGCTTGGCATTCTGTTCTCAGGGTTGTACTTAATGTTTCGAAATCATGACTAGCGGGGTAAGATCGGCAACATAAAGCCACATTAGAAGCAAAGGATAAAAATCAAACAGATGATAAATGAAAACATGTTTGCATTTGTTATTCATGTATATATGTCTTTGAACTTGCATTTCGTTGTAATAATATTAAATGGGTGTTGGATTTGTATTTCTTTGTTTTAATAGTGAATTCCAACTTATACATTGTTAATAACATAATTTTATATACGTGCCTATCTTGCCCCATTACTGTTGCCCCTATACCAGGGGCAACTTTAATAAAAATAATTAAAATAATTACAACTTTACAAAAAGAGAGAAGTTGCCGATCTTGCCCCTATACCCGGGGCAACTTCGTCAATTTCTCTCTTCTTGTAAAGTTGTAATTATTTTAATTATTTTTATTTCCAAACTGATTTTAACCAGTTCTATAGTAAGGTAACATTCCAATAGACAATATGCAAAGCTTTTTTTTCAGTTTACAGCAGTATTTATTACACAAAATTTAAGTAAAGCTTAACATGACGATCTTGCCCCGGTCTCCCCTAAGCAGAAAGTATAAGCTATTCATTTAAAAAAACAGCAGCAAGTAGTAGGGCCTATATCGCCGTTTATTTTCGACTAATTCCCTATGATAGATACACTTAATATGAAATCATTCTGTAATACTATGTCAAGATTTTATTTCTGGCTCCCTCTTTTTTCGGAAAAATGTATATAAATAACTAAATAACGACCATTTCTATCGCAACTTTTACCAAAAAGTTATGGAATTGCCCCCACAGAGCCAAAATTTAAAATTTGAAAATAAAAATATAATACTGATCATTTTTTGATACTCCCGTTTTAGGTGCCCTTTGTGCCTACGCACCCGTTGCACCTCCCTAGTTACGGCACGGACCATTATCATCTAATAATTAATTATAGTTTATTAAAATGCTGTTAATTGTTTATAATCCGAAATTTATAAATCATTAATTAATGTTACCAGGTTAAGTTCTAGTCTGGAAATGTTTGATATTGATTTGATAATTAATATCTTATTATTATATTTATAAAACTATTTGCAATGCTACAGCTCGATTTGATTTTAGAAATTTATTTTTTATCAGTTTAAGGATTTGTTGTTTGGAATAGAAATGATTCCGAGGGGGGACAAAGAAGCCAAGCTCGCTCTTGTTATTTCATATAGTAATAATTTATAATAATGCCAAAAGAAATTTTCCGTGCCTTGCATAGAGTTATAAATTGATTCAAATACAATTTTAAAAGTAGAGAAGTCTTTAATAAAGAAAAATATACAAAAACAAAATCACTTCCAGTCGATTAGACTTCTTCATTTACATAGATTCGGCTAAAAGAGAAGTTGCGAACGAAGGAAGTTTCAATTTAAAATCCGAAATGTCTTCAACGATTTACAAAATTCTAGTGCAACGATTAATATTTATTTTGATGAATGAAAAAGTATACAAAAATTAAAGAATTAAGACATATTTAACGTTAGTGTCTTTAAAAAAAGACATACAAACAGGACGTTAAGAGAGGAAATTACAACGTAAAAATTATGCAACATTTTAAAATTTGTAAATGTAATTTTATTATTATATGAAACGTTAATAGAATTAATTAAAAATAATTTAATATTTTGAAAACACGAAACAAAAGACATTCTTATGTATCTTACGTACAGTACAATACGTAGAAAAGGATGTCTAAAGTGTTGCTGGAACCATTTTGCCTGAAAGAACAGCTTTAGTTTATAAGAAAAATCCAAATTAATTCTCCAAAAATGTTTGAAGAGAGCAGAGAAAATGCTTCATTTACAAAATACTGTAATTTACATCTAATATAGGCTTAATGGTAGGAAATTAAAAGGCAAGGGAAAACTGAGGGATAAATAAATAAAGTAGAAATTCAATAATAATGTAATATTACTGTAGATAAATAACTTTTTAAATTCAAATATTTCGGAAAATATGCAATTATAACTTTGGTAAAGAATAAAAGTACAAACATCTTGAACGAATTTCGAATCATAATTTGAACAAATCCAATTTGTTCTGGTTTTTGCAAGAATATTTTATCTTCTTCTCCAACGACGTAACTAATTTATTGCAATAACAACTTTTACATAATACATTATGCAATACAATATTAATATTTAGAGTCGAAGATGCAACTCAAAATATATATATTATACAGTATTTTCATTGTATAATGTTAACTGCAATGTTAAACATAGTTTTTGTTTTCTTTTCCTTATCACTGTTTGCCATTATATTCAAGATAATGTTAACTAAATTGTTAAAGGCAATAAAAAAGTTTTTAACAATTTAATTAACATTAAAATAATGACTTTTTTTATTTTTAATTTGCTTTTTCCATATTTTGCTATTACATAGACCAAGAAACTTTAAGAAAATGGCCAGGAAATAATTCGTTATTCAACGTCAGTCAATTAGCATAGAGCAGGAAAATCTACGGTAACATACAATTTTGTTTATTTTTTTACCGAATAAATAAAA